GTCTATATTTTTGAGATGTACTGTAGTTATTTACGCTATTTTCATTCTTCGGACTGTTGTCCTCATCTTTGTTGTTATATCCACAAATTTTCGGCCTTTTCAGGTGATTGGAATTTCGAAGCGTTTTTTCAAAGTAGTTTTTTTTTTCTAGTCCCGCGTGCCTCTTCCGATTTTAATGTCAATATCAGTTTTCTTCTTTTCAACTCAACTTGCCATGTTTTTGTTCAGCTCTGCTGTAGCCAGGTATTGAACTCACAACTCTTTCGGTCAAGTTACTGGATTCAATTAACGCTTTTATCCATTAGGCCATATGGCCTTGAGGACGTCGTGAATATGACAAAGAAGATGAGGGCAACAGTCCGAACAACGGGAAATAAATTTGATTTAACTTTCAAAGATTAAGATAAAAAAATGGCTATTATATATTTAAGTGAAATATACTAACAATGACATAGCTGTTTTGCATGACTCTGATATACATATATATATATATATATATATATATATATATATATATATATATATATATATATATATATATATATATATATATATCGCACATTGAGGTGCTAGTGTTAATAAAATATATTAATAAATATATACTTATTTTTTCCTCACCCAAGCACGACACGGATTTTCATGCAAACGCAATCTTCAGGTGCTTAGTTAAGGCTGACCGTTACATAATTTAAATTTTGTTAAATATATCGGGTATTTATCAATATTTTATACGGTGATTGTATTGATAAATATACACATTTTTTTCCTCACTGGTAGCACAATCGCCGTATAAAAATTACGATGACCCGATATATTTAACGTAATTTAAATCATGTAACACTCAGCCTTAACTCAGCACCTGAAGATTGTGCTGTGCATGAAATTCCGAAGCGAGTCATGCTGCCGATTTTAGGACAAATATGTATATTTATTAATTAATTAATTAATTAATATATATATATATATATATATATATATATATATATATAATTTATTCGAAAATTAAAATATAAATATGTGATAAAATCACTACAAAAATAGTCATTTTGTTTCAACACAATATCACTTGATAAGACACCAGAAGTCTTGAAGCAAAATGGATATTTTTCTAGTGATTTTATAACATATTTATGTTATAATTTTTGAATAAATTATATTTGCTCTACTTTTGTATTGAGCACTCTTTTAATATAGTAGTTTTTGGTTATTGGAATTTATTCCGTATACACCAATCCTATATAGCTTGATATATATATATATATATATATATATATATATATATATATATAATTATTATTTATAAAATTATAACATAAGATATTATAAAATCACTACAAAATGGCTATTTTTGTAGTGATTTTATAACATACTTATGTTATAATTTTTTTTATAAATAATAATTATATCTGCTCTACTTTTGTATTGAGCACTCTTTTAAGAATAGTAATTGTTGGTTATTGGAATTCATTCCATATATACCAATTATATACTTGTATATATATATATATATATATATATATATATATATATATATATATATATATATATAGATAGATAGATAGATAGATAGATAGATTCCAGATAAAGACTCGTTTTTAAGAAAAACACTCGAATTTTTGATTTGCTAATAATAGGTAGGTTTGTCTGGCTCACTAGGTGTTCTATATATATATATATATATATATATATATATATATATATATCTTCATTCAAACATATTTCATTGAATTATATAGACATATTGTGTCTACTTATTTTATGCTGATCATTTCCAGTTTTCTAATCAGTTTCTTGATGTTAAGATGAAATTCGCCGTAGTTTTTCTAAGCCAAGTACTTTTCTTCTTTTCCAAGATTATTTTCAGGGATAAATTTTAAATACAAACTTATTGTAACTACGATAAAATTTGCATTCCGTTGTGAGGGCGATTTTTAAAAAAAATACGCGAGAACTGGCTCTGTTATAGTTATTTTCAAAATTTTACCGCTGAAAATGATCTTGGAAACTTACGTTCATGATTTGGTTACGACTGACAGGTTGTCAATCGATTTGGTCGTAAGTCGGCCTGTGATTAATTTTGCTTTTTTTTTATCATTTTTTAGGCATTATTGCATTTTTTTATCAATTTTACAGCTTCTTTAGGTTTTATAACATTTGTATCATCTCTCGGCATATTCTTTGTTTCATATTTTACGATTGTCAGGTTTAAGTCAAACATTACCGCGACCCACAGCAAGAACCACATTTTGCATTGCGACCCATTATACCTATGTGTAAATAAATCAAAGGCAAACTCAATTCATCAGGTTCATTTATTTAGCATTGACAATTTCTATTTATAATTCTTATGTTCCACACAGATTGGAATTGCATGTATCTATTTATATTATTTATTTGGATGAATTGGAACTAAAACAGTCTACCCCAGTGAGCGAAATAAAGGGTTCAGTTCAACATTTCAAGCACCTGAAGAAGGCTGGAGCGTACAATGGCTGAAATCTTGTGATAAATATGGAAACAAAGACGAGGACAATAGTCCGAATAATGTAAATAGTGTACATAATAACTCATCTCAGAAATATAGACACCCAGCTCACATGGATCAGTTGAAAGCAGTGAAGAAATCCAAGTGCTGAAGGTTAAAACACAACTGAATGCAGACCTGGTTATGTTACACATTTTTTGTAGCATTCTACAGTTTGGAGTTCTACTACACTTGAAAAAATTTGAATGACACATTTTAATTTTTACTGCTACATATTTCAGCTATCTAGATCAGCATTTTTTTTTTTTTTTTTAAACCCCAGCAAGAACCACATTTTGCATTGTTGACCCATTATACCTATTTGTAAATAAATCAAAGACAAACTCTACTCACTAAGTTTATTTATTTAGCATCGACAATTTCTATGTATATTTTTTATGATCTGCACATACTGGAATTGCATGTACCTATGTGTATTATCTATTTGGATGAATGTAAAATTATTACTTAAAGAAAAACAAATTTAAAGGAAATTCCGACACAAAGGTAAAGTAAATAACATAAATAAATAGATTAATAAAAGTTTTAAATAGATTAATAAAATATAAACCAGAGATTAAAATTAATATTAAATTTAAAGATTATACAGATTAATTATAGATTAAAATATAAAGGATTAGGTAGAATCTTATATGTTAAAAGAATAATTGTAGATTAAATTATCATAAATTAAACAGATTAAAATAAAATATAGATTGAATTATAAATTAAAATAGATAAAAGCATAAGCGTCCTTTTACAGAGAGAAACATCACTAACAAATTACTAAGATTTTCCCCCCCCGCAGCTAGTAAGTAAAAAATAGTAAGCCATTTAGTAAAGTAAAATTAAATCATCAATGCACATGATTCACTTGGATTACTTACCCACGGATTTTTGAAACACACATATATATATATTTATTAAAGACATTTTTATGTTTAACGTTGTTATTTTATAGATACAAGTATTTAAGCAAATGCTCTGTTTATGATAAACAGTATTAAATAACATTTACCGGCCTGAATGTCCGAGAAATTTTCATAGAAAATATTCGTTCTTTGACAGGATTCGAACCTGCATCCTATACGGAACCGTCATATACGCTGACGTGCCTTACCTCTAGGCTACAAAGAACCGTTTATCATAAACAGAGCATTTGCTTAAATACTTGTATCTATAAAATAACAACGTTAAACATAAAAATGTCTTTAATAAATAAATTGTCGGACCTTGTCCATTTCTTAACATATGACGTCATTTGTTTACATTCGATACGCCAGAGCAGTTATGAATGTACGAGATTCATAGAAGATTGGAGTTTATAAGCAGTAAATTCGACCTTATCTACCGAACGGTTCTTTGTAGCCTAGAGGTAAGGCACGTCAGCGTATATGACGGTTCCGTATAGGATGCAGGTTCGAATCCTGTCAAAGAACGAATATTTTCTATGAAAATTTCTCGGACATTCAGGCCAGTAAATGTTATTTAATACTGTTTATCATAAACAGAGCATTTGCTTAAATACTTGTATCTATAAAATAACAACGTTAAACATAAAAATGTCTTTAATAAATAAATTGTCGGACCTTGTCCATTTCTTAATATATATATATATGAAGAAATATAGTTTTAAGGTGTGCTATATTTATGGGATAAAGTGCTCAATATCAGAGATAGAGCGTATGTAAATATAAATGTAAAAGAATAATTATAGATTAATGTATAGATTAAACAGATTAAAATAAAATATAGATTGTATTATAAATCCTTTTACTGAGAGAAATATCACTAACAAATTACTAATGCCACCAAAAAAAACAACAAAAACAGGTAGCTATGAAACAGGTAAATTAAATCATCAATATACTTGAATGCACATGATTCACTTCGATTACTTACCCAAATATAATTTTATATATATATATATATATATATATATATATATATATATATATACAGAGAGAGAGATAGAGAGATTGGCGTCGACTTACGTCCAAAATTTGGTTACAACTAACAAGTAGTAAATCGATTTGGTCGTAAGTCGCCGTGGGATTAATTTTGCAGTCTTTTTTTTTTTATCATTCTTTAGGAATTATTGCATTTTTTTAATCATTTTTACGGTTTCTTTATGCTTGATACATTTGTATCATCTCTCTGCATGTTGTTTGTTTCATATTTCGCGATATGGACAAAACACATCGTGTGCCATCCGTTCAGTTCTAGAAAACCGTTCTATTTTGTGTTCATTCCATGAAAATGTGCAAAACGTTTATTCAGAAGTGATAAACTTTCGGATAAACCCTGACTGGAACATCCCTTAGAATAATCCTTTGTCCTGCTCCATACCCCTCATTTGTAAGTTACTTCGGACTACCAGATATACCAATTCGCAGTTATGGTCGTAAAGTCGAACAGTCGTAAGTCGCATAGGTCGTAAATCAACAACGACCTGTATACCTGACGCAAGGGTCTCCTGGGCTACAACGGAATCTATGATACGGCCCCAGAAACTATGATACAGCCCTCAACTCTACCATATAAGGTGATATTCATATAAAATACGAATTTGATTGTAACCTAATTATGTACAATAATGGATCCTATACAATATAGGCGAAAAATTCAGCTAGAAAAATTGAAAATAAATACAATGTATTATGACGTGTCTCCAATTTGTATTTTTAAATACAAATTAGAGACACGTCATAATAGATCATTCCATCTTAAATAAATCCACAATGTTTTGCGGCAATTTTTTACATCAGCTTGAGAATTTTCTTGTTAAAAAGTTGAATAATTATAACACGTTCAACAAAGTTTTATATAGTGTTTCTTTTTTTATATAGTGTTTCTTTTATTTATATAGTGTTTCTTTTTTTCGAGATTTAGCATGAACAAAAAAAATTCACTGATTTGGACGAAAAAAAAAAAAAAGCTCCTAGAATGACGTCAAAATCCGCGAAAAGTTCTCACCCTTTTATGTAGGTACCACCACTTTTTCGTTAAAAACGAGCATGTCATGATGAAAAAAGATTCCAAACTTTTATGTTATTATTAAGAGGAAAGACTAAAGTTATCTTATTAATTTTTTAAATCCTTTCTAACACGTTCGGAATTTTGGGATAAAAATCTTTTCTATTTTTTTTTTTTTGGTTGGTGGGTGTTGAAAGATTAATATGGGAATTTTAGCGCCTTTTTTTCGGTAAAACACACATGGATTTGGAAATTGTTGCAAAATCAAATAATTTTCGGATTTTAATGAAACATTCAGGACTTATTCACAAATGAAGGAAATTATTTTAGAAATATTTTTTTAGAAAATCTTGAGAGAAAAATATCTTTGTTTTACATCTGTTATTCATCCACACACATTAATTAATTAATTAAGGGAATTTCGAAAAATTAAATTTTGTCACGCTTTACATTTATATTAGTTATAAACAGTAGTCCTGGAGGAATGGAAAATATCTATTTTTTTTTTTTACAATTATTCATTTAGCGAAAATCTGCTCTGTATCGTAAAATAAAAAAAAATGCAGTCAAACTAAGACATCTATCTATCTATCTATCTATCTATCTATCTATCTATCTATCTATCTGTTTTAGTCTTTTTTTATCTAGCTATCTATCTCAATTTGTTCAATATCTACCCATTTATTTCATTCTGTTCAATATCTATCTATCTATCTATAGAAAGAAAGAAAGAAAGAAAGAAAGAAAGAATGAATGAATGAATGAATGAATAATCGGGAGCTGAGAAGGGTGATAATTTTTTTTTCCTTTTTTAAATCATGTAAAAATCAATAATCAAAAATCACAATAAGAAATATCTATCTATCTATCTATCTATCTATCTATCTATCTATCTATCTATCTACCTACCTCTTTTTCAATCTATATATTTATTTCAGTCTGTTATCTATTATCTATCTATCTATCTATCTATCTATCTATCTATCTATCTATCTATCTATCTATCTCAGCTGGTTGTTTGTTTAAACCAATATCAAAATAACGTCTCAGACACAATCCCAGCTTCACAGATTCCCTAATATTGACGCGTCGGAAAAGACGAACAATCTTCCTATTCTCGATTTTTCTACCAACATTCATTGATTCTATGGCAATACACACTGAGCAATTAATAGAGAAGCCGACTATATCATGAGAAGAGAGCATTACGAATCTGCGCCAATCGTTTTTGGCATCAAACAAAAGAAGACATCAAATATATTTTTCATATGATTTGCGTGGATTAAAAAAAAACAGTTAATGTATTTAGTATCTAATACTATGAAATGGAAGACTAGTCAGCGCCAAATTATAAGGATACGACTATATAGACATTTCCTCCAGCAAGTAGACCTGAATACATAGGAAAGAAGTGTAAGATACATAGATAGATAAAAACATTGAGATAGATAGATAGATAGATAGATAGATAGATAGATAGATAAAAACATACTGAAACAGATAGATAAAAAACAGACTGAGATAGATAGATAGATAGATAGATAGATAGATAGATAGATAGATAAAACAGACAGAGATAGATAAAACAGACATAGATAGATAGATAGATAGATAGATAGATAGATAGATAGATAGATAAAACAGACAGAAATAGATAGATAGCTAAATAGCTAGCTAGCTAGATAGATAGATAATTTCTTATTGTGATTTTGATCATTGATTTTTACATGATTTCAAAAGGGAAAAAATTATCACCCTTCTCAGCTCCCGATTAAATTAAATTAAATTCTTTCTTTCTTTCTTTCTTTATGTATTTATTTATTTATTCATTTATTTATTTTGCAGGTGACTTCTTAAATTTTGTTAACTTTCATTCCAATCATCAATCAAGAGAAAGCAAGTGAAACGCCCCGAATTAAACACCGTGGAGCACAAAAGCATATACACGAAAAATATTACAGACAAAAATTTGCTATTAAAAAAGAAGAAGATATTTGTCT